AATAATTTATATAGATAAAAAAATTAGAAACTTAAAAATCTGATATTATAAGCACAAAAAAGTGTGACCTTTAATCTGTATCAACTGACGATCGGATGATTTAGGGCCAGCCAAACTTATCCCACAGAATCCTACTTTTATAGAGGGACCATAACCATATATCCCTAACTTCAAATTGATTTAGATTTGCAAATTATTGGTTCAGCTATTCATCTCAAAAGAAACAGTGTGACCATCTCTGTGGATAATTTGATTCGAACACAAAAATGTTATGGCTTATTATGTTTTATATATCTTTCAGTATGAGTTTTTTGTATGCGACTTGTTTTTTTAGGATTTCTTCTGTGTAATAAAATTGTTCCAATGGTTGTTACCCATTTTTCTCAGTGTTGTTATGCGAGCTGGAGTTTGAAGCTGCAGGCGTTGTCGCCGTCGCCGTCTCCTTCTCACCATTTTTCATTTCACTGCGCCGCTGCACATGGCTGTCAACTGCCAGGCCAAGACGCAGATGTAGATGGAGATGGAAGTCTAAGCCGCCCGCCAGTTCAGATGCAGCCTCCTTTTGCCGAGTCCTCCGATGAGTCCTTCGGCGGAGGAAGAGAGTCGCGCGCCCGCATATCGATTTCAGCGCATTGTGCCCTGTTTGCATACAAATATCCTAAGGACATGTCACAGAGACGCACTGTGCAGCCTGCCCCCATTTTTCCCCGCCTCTGGCACACGTACGCATGTAAATTGTATTTGTGTGTGCAGGGGGAACACATCCCTATTTAGACAGCCCCCTCCATCTTACATCCTTGAGCTGCTTGTGCTTGATTTCATTTGCTCGGGCAATTGTCTTCGGCGGCGTCTGCCTCGACTTTATTTTTGCCAAAAACTTCCACACAAATTCGAATTCCTCGCTCTTTGGCAACTTGTCAGCCAGCCATTTTTCCGAAAAAAGAACTTCTGATACCCCCTCCTCTAATATCCTGGTATCCTGGTGCATGTGGAAGGACCTTTGTGCTTTTGTGCGTCTCGTCCTCTTTTCACTGCCACAATGCGAAGACAGCGAATTGGCCTGCGATGGTGCCTGCCTGTGACATTTGATGTTTAATTTCAATAACTCAGTGCTCTCGCATTTTGAATTTTTTTTCCCTCCATCGGCTTTTGGAATGTGAATGTGTGTGAGGGGGGAGTTGATTGGCCCTGGTTCTGAAGGGCCGTGAGTCCTGATTCCAATTATAGCTGTCCAAAATAAAGACGAGTGCAAATTACACAAATTTTACATCCAATAGAGCAGTCAGAGTGAAACTCTTGGCACTTGAAATCTGTTTACAAAAAGGACTTGGTTTTTAAAGTTGTCAATAGGATAAGAGGTTTTAAGATAAAGTAGGCAAGACTCAAAACTGTAGTACCTCTAAAATATAAACCATGTTTATTTTAGATTTTCCAGCTTGAAAAGTTTAGAGCCCCATCAATATTAATGGTCATTACATTCCTCCATTATACTTTTTGTTTTTAAGAACTCAAAACCACACTAACAATCGCATTGTGATATTGATTTAGGTCCTTTACCAGTTATCGCATACAGACATTTTACTGGATTTATTTTCAAATTTCCTTTGGTTTCACTCTGGTTATATGCATTTCTCTGCCCATGTTATTCACCCGAAAATTCCCCCCCCCCCCAGAAATTTCCAATATTATAATAAATGCCTCGAAATCCAATTACTTTACCACAATGTCCGAAATATATTTTGATTTCGTATATAGCCCCTACCCATTCCTCATACCAATTTTGGGCTCTTGGCTTTTGTGGTCAACGCACAACCGCTGGTGCATCATTCGAAAACCCGAAAACCGTAAAACGCAAGTTGCAGCAAACAAAGAACTCATGCGGCTTGCAATTGTGAAAGGTCAACATTCAGTTTTTGGGGGTTTTCACTTTTCCTTTTTCCCCCCATTATTCGGCTCAGCGGGGGATCGAAATCGTGGTTGATGGGAGAAATTCCGGGCGGTAGGTGTGAAAATGCCAAAACAGATGGACGTTAGAAAATGGGAAGCGGCACATTTCATTGACTGACTGCTGCTGGGAATTAATTGAGGCAGCTTGACAGCTGCCCTAACCTCTGACCGGGCCCAAAAGCCCTCCACTTCCATTTCCATTTCCAATTCCACTTCCACATTCACCCAACCTGGCTTAAAGCCGGGCCTTAAAGAACCGAAAACCAGCAGGCGGCTCCGAAAACAGAGTTGTCAGAGCTTGAGCCCGTTGCCAGCTGTTAATGAGCATTCAACTGGCTAATTAATTTTATACATTTATTAAACTTTGCCCTCACACAAACACACACACAGAGTTAGGCAGCCATCCCAGCCATCCCACAAACTATTTACCATACAAATCTAATTTTATCAACTTTGTCTTTGGCCGCTTAACTAGCCGAGTTGTCCTGTGTTGTCCTGTTCCATTTCTCAGGCTGCTCTGCTCTGCCAGGAAGTCCTATAGGACTCCTGCCCCGACTCCTGTCAAAACATTGTGACACAGTTCTGCTTTCTTACAATTTGCCCCGCTCTTTATTTAGCCACGTTTGTTACGGCTTGCGCCATTCTCTTGGCTCATTAACGTTGGCCTTTGTTTCGTCCTGTCATCGTTGTCGTCTGGAAAAGCAGGAGGAAATCCAGGGGACAGCCAGGAAAAGTGGGAAAGGATACACACAAAAAAGTGTCCTTGGTCAAATTGACCAATGCTGATAAACTTGTAATTAAACAAAATAGTATATGTTTTTGTTTCAGCTTGGTTTACCAGTCCATAGTTAAACTACTGGTGAAAAATTTATATTTACAGGATGAGTGTACTCTATTATTCTTTCACAACTATTTAAAATAGTTTTTTAACTGTGAAAAAAGAATGATCCAAACGTATAATCTTTCATATAAAAGTATGCAACACTAAACAATTTTTTTCAATTTGTTACTTATAATTCCCAACTGGATCTAGCGTTAAGTGCATAAAGACCCCCAAGTCGGACATTGAAAAGTTAGGACCTTACATTAAAGAAAGTATTTTCTATAAAAGGTGTTTCACATACTTTTATACAAGCTGGAAGTTAAGTCATCTTTTGGAAAATGGTAAATTGATATTTATGTAATCAATAAAACGTATTAGTTACTGTAATTATATTAGTCAATTTTACAAGTTATTTTTTTGCGTGTAGAGAGGGAAAGCAAGCTGGAGCCGAGCCAGGCATCCTGCATCTATCGCCTTTTGTGCGGTGGCCTTTGTAATTTATAAAAGTCCACCGAACAGTCTTCAGCCTTCATTCCTAATATCAGTTGAGCTGGCTGGCTAGATGGCTGCTAGCTGGCTGGCTGGCTGGGGCATGTAAATCAGGTCAAAACAATGCAACTGACAGTGAATTGTGTTCGGTTGTCGTCTGCCCAGTTCTCCCCCCTGGTTTGGCCCATGCCACAATGACACATTCAGGACTTGAACAGTTTTACTTCATTATTGGTTACTCAGCAATTCATTCACAGGACACACCTTGTGTCTGTGCAAGTGTCCCTGTTCGGGCGCCATCGCATTGCCCTTTTTATGGCCATGTCCTTTGCTTATCCTGCCTGACTAATGACAAGCAGTGGTAGTGGTAATGGTAGCATCAGGCCAGCCAATTCGCCGACTTCCCTCCGGTTTTTCATCGCTCGGCCTTTTGTCAACCACTTCGCCTCGACTTGGAATCGTCCTCTTTTTGTTTCTTGGCGAAAAACCCAGACCCAGGCCTACATGGAGGGGCTCAGGACCAAAAGTGGGCGTGGCCAGGCGCAGGACAGGCTCCGGTTTCGACTTGGCCAGGTGCTCTCCTCTTTATAACAAAGGCATAAATTATTTGTGCTGTCAACATGGGCTTCCCCGGTCCTGTAAATGGCAGTTGGCCTGCGAACTCGAGCTTATTGTTTGTCTATTGATTTGAATTTGCCCAGGAATTATGCAAGTTATTTTATTTCCGCACCACCCTTCGTCTCCATCGGGCAAACAAATGTTTGCTGTATCATGGCCGGGGGTTGGGGACTGATGGTTGTTTAATTGTTATGGATAGTCACAGCGGACTTGGGCAATATGTAACTTCGATTAAAAACGTCTGCAGGTGAATGGGGCCATATATTAGATCACCTTACAAAGCAATGATAGCTGTCGCGTTGAAATAAATTGTTTGTAGATAAATAAAACATTTACGTTTTCCCATGATGTTAAAAGTGTAATTAAACTCACGAGTTCCGATATTTTTAGATCTGTTGCATGCACCTAATCTGACATTATTTTAAGCAATGACCAGCAAAAACATTAGATATTTTAAGATAATAGCGATTAAGGCTCAGCAAAGCAAATTATTTAATATATATTTGTCAATGGCAACCTAATCTAATTACAAAACATTTTAATCGCACTACTAATGGTAATGCATTTTGGTATTACTTTTATGAATTTACCATTTCATGCTTGGGAAATGTTTAAATTTATGAGTTACCAATTGGTTGCGAGAGCTTTGCTAATTCGGTAAATTATTCAGAGTCCGACCTTCATTGGTTGTCAGCAGACTCGGAAATATTGCTGTGATTATGCGAGATTAAAAGCCTTCTAAAATATCAATTGGGGATTCGGCAATGGCGAGGCCAGTACAAATGGCATGCAAATCAATTGGGCAAGTGTGAATGGCTCAAACAAAGGCCGAAAATTGTCAAACTCTGACCGCATCTAAATACAATAAATGAATAATTGATTCGATGTGGGGCCTGGCAACTAATTGCGACTAACTTTGCTGATTTTCAAGCCCAACTCCCCCCCAAAAACTGCAAATGGACTGATAATGGAATATAATTACAATCGAAAAAGGGAAATTGTATTGTGGCGTAATTGTCTGTATTGTGCGTAATCAAATTCTGATTCATCTCGCAAAAAGTTTAATTGCCTTAATTGCATTTCCTCTAATTCGGAATCGCACTGATCTGGTATAAAAGCCACCGATTCTGAGCAATTGACCAACACTCGAGGTTTTCAAGTGAATCCGGAAAAGTTTAAACTAAAGCAAATTTCAAAATGAAATTCACCCTATTCTGTGGAGCTCTGGCTGTTCTTTTGGCCGTGGGTCAGGTAAGAGGAGCAGTCACAGGACCATTCGTACGTTATATTTGATTTTAATTTCTTTTATTTTTTTCAGTGCGATTCGGACTTCCGGCAGATGATGCAGGAGTGCATGCAGTCCACCCAGGTGACCGAGTCTGACCTCAAGGACTTCATGGCCAGCGGAATGCAGAGCAATGCCAAGGATAACCTCAAGTGCTACACCAAGTGCCTGATGGAGAAGCAGGGCCACCTCACCAATGGCCAGTTCAATGCCCAGGCTCTGCTCGATACCCTCAAGAATATACCGCAGATCCAGGATAGGTTGGAAGAGATCAGCTCGGGTGTGAATGCCTGCAAGGACATCAAGGGCACCAACGATTGCGACACGGCCTTCAAGGTCACCATGTGCCTCAAGGAGCACAAGGCCATGCCAGGACATCACTAGAGATGATGATGATATCGCAATGGTCCTAAAAAGTTGATTAGCTGAGTTTGCACATCTCAGGTAAATGTTGTGAAATAAAGTTGTTCAAGTTGCACTAAGGCAAACTTCAGAGAAATCACTTGGTTGGGAAATATAATAACATATATCCAAAACAGGACTTCTATATATTTAACAGAAAGAAACAAACGACTGGATTAATACAATCAATATGATATCATATATATTTCCACAACTGCCCAACAATTCTATTGTATCCATTTTTCTTAGAACCCTTTTTATAGAAGAGTTTGTTCATTATAATCTAATCAGCATACCAATCGATTAGGTGTGTCAATTCAAGCAGTCCTAGGCTTGCCCAAAACCCAGCTCAAAGTAAATTCCAGAATGATAGGCCAAGAACTACCAGTAAGATTGAGAAAAGGCATATCGAAGGTAAGGAGATGACGTTGCTACAGCATTCCGTGATTTATCAACTCTCGGCTTTCTGGGAAGCAGCCATTGACAACCTGTTTCCTTCGAGCCACCACAGCGTTGTCTACGAAAATCATTTGTCAATTTTAATAAGTTTAAAATCAAGATAATTAAAAGAGAAGTTCGAAACAACGGGCGCCTGGCAACCCAGAAAGCAGAGGATGGAAAATGCGGCATCTGGGGAGGATGAGAATCCTTTCCTTTTCTTTGGAACACTGTGACACCAATTACCGCTAATAAATCATTTCACGTGTGAGACCCTCCCGCCCTGGTCTCCGTTTATACACTCATATACCTTTCGGGTAACATATGAGCTGCGCTTAATGGCGAAAATCGTGGCAAGAGGGGGTTTCGGGATGAAGAGCCAATGTAACCATAGAAGATGTAACATAAATCAACGCCGCAGCAGCCTGCAATGGAGGAAGACAAACGCGGTTCATTGCACTTGTCTGCCGGGCGGATGGTGGAGTGGGTTCGATACCCGGGGATCAGAATCTGAATCAGAATCAGAATCGGAGATGGGAACACTAAGATACTTGGGGTGTGAGAGTGAGGAACCATGGGGCCGGCAGGTTGACAAGCCCCAGCGACATGAGACAACAGAAACTGAACGGAACGCTGCAGAACGTAAAGAGAAAGCCAAGAATTCTTTGAAGGACCCAGCCCAGCAATGACAATTTGAAAAAGAATCCCTGCTTCTTGTTTGAATTGAAAGGTCGCAGGCAGTTGGCAAAGATGGTGATGGAGTTTAGAGCTGGGAAACGGGTTGGGGTCGTAGTAGTAGTAGTAGTTGGGGACACCCTGGACGTTGGGGCGTTGTCATGGCAGCCACATGCATACAAATTTTACCCACTTCAAATTGTGCAGCCCGGCCATGCATATAATGGCCTGGCCTTTTATCAACTAACAAATACCAGGCAACAAAAAAACTTTCCAACGATGGATGACTACAGTCGCAGACGAGAGGAGGGGGACTCCCTCTTCCAACTCCATCTCCAGTTGCACTGGAAAACTCAATTTGAATATTGTTGGACGAAACAAGAAAAGAGCCGAGACGGTCTGCTCCAAGACGTACCACCACCACATGATGAAATGCAGTCAAGTTAAAAAGTGTCACTTGAGTTATGAGTTCATTGTTTGGAGTTACCAAGAGACCGGCCAGTGGGGATGGATGGATACGGATGATGATGGAGCAGGCTTCTTTTCAATGGGATATTGTTGGTAGTCTCTGAATAGTTGGATTGGCCTGGTCTGGCCTGGCCAAAAGGGTTGCTGGATGACTAAGACGTTTGCGGTGGCTCGGAAAATATAGTAGCGACTGTGTGGTTTATTGCCAAGTCAATCTGCAGATACAATGGGGTGGTTCCAGGATTAATTTGATCTGGCAACTGCGATAGAGTGATCCAAAAGCTAGAACTAATTTTGGGATAAATCGAGTCTGCTCAGAGGCATTTCTCCCGCCCTCGAACCGCACAATTGTCACCCCGAATGTTCGGTTATTTTCAACACTTGCTGGGTTTCCTCCGGTGCCCAGTACTATCGCAGTTAAACGATCTCATTCGCTGATCCGCTGTCACTGATAACGGGTGTGCGATAGGAAAATAATGGATATGGCATAGGCAGCATAGACAGTCATATGAAATGAATTTCAATTTTGAAAAATTGCTTTCAAAATGCCTGTGTGAAAAACGGAAATGCTGCGAGAATGTTCCCCCCCGACCCTTTGGTTACTTCCCCTTCTGTAGATATTGTTGTTTCCTCTTCACGAGGAGCGTGTGCCCAAATTAGAAAGCAAATGCCAGGAGGGGTTCTTCTGATATTTACAGCCCAAAAAGTTGACACTTTAGTTGCTGTTCTTGCACATTATGTGCGGGTGCACGTTTTCCGCTCCCGGGAAAACTAACGGCACAGTCCCGCTCAAGATGCACGGGCACGGCATTAGCGATCAGATCCAGGTCCCAGATCTCGAGACCTCAGACCCCCGATCCGAGTTCACACCAAAAGTCCCGGGAGGGCCCTCTTACAGCCCCGATGAATTTACATACTATATATGCAAGAGAGTTTTATTGCCAAATCCCTATTATGTGGGAACTGGCCCAGTGTCTCATTGTCGGGTTCGGTATTTAATTATCGGTTGCATGTCAACGCCTTTTCAATACCTTCATTATGCTTCTGACTCGCTGGGGTAGGGTCATAATTAAGCGCGCCTAAATATACACTTTTGGTGAATTCCAATTTTAATTGCCGCCACTGTCTATTTCGGGTGCCTATTCGTATCTTTTGTACCGCCCTGGAAACCCACGTCTGTTGAATGGAAATGCAGATACACGGTAACAGAATTTTTATTTAAATTACCCGGATGTTAACAATTTTCTGTCCATAGTCTTTGATCGCACAGAAGCATTTGATTTATGAATATAATGTAAGGTTGCAGGCTGCCAAAACAAAAGTAACGGCTAAGCCGAAGCTATGGGAATCGAATTTTAAAATTTAAAAAAAATAGGATATATTCTTTATATTACGGTTTGAACTTTGTATACCTTAGATTATGTTATATTTTATACAAAGTTCCGAAAAGAAAGACCCATAGAACGATGGTTTGTAGGCTTCACAAATTATTAAATTAGGTTTTTAATGGTCTGAATAAATATACATGTTGAGAGTCTTAAGAAATTGCTTTTAACTTGAAGTGATATATATTAAAATAGGATATTTTCCATTTCATTCATCAAAATAGGCGCACAAAAGCCTTGACTTTTTACTTTAAATTCTCGTAAAATCCGAAAAAGCTTTCATTTATGTCCGCTAAGCTGTTGGTCTGCAATTGAAATGCCTAAATTCCATTGCAAGCTACCACTCAATTGGGAAAAATTTGATCTAACTAATCAAGAGAGTGGCTTTTGGCCCTCCAAAGTATTCATTTCACTTTTTTCGTCCTTCCAAGTGGCTTAAAAACCAAACCAATTCCCCATGCCATCTCAATGGCAATCGTGTGTATATATCTATCTGCTAACTCTTGGCCCATGGAATCCCAGGGAAAATGTAAAAAAAAAACTCGGCTAACCAACTCAAATCAAGCGACTGTCTGAGGGGGCTGAGCTTAGTTGTCAATCAAATTGTCGCAAGGGCCACACGCAAATTTATTAAATCGATATGCCGTCAAAATTGAAAGTGGTTTTGGTATGGCAGGTCGGGGAAAATGGGGAATGGGTTTTGGGATTGGTTAGCTGGGAATTCCCCGCGATGTCAGACAGTCGAAAGCCCAGTGCAAACATTTGCCTTGATTGCACTCAATTCGACAACTAACGATTCTCCATTGGCCTTGGCAATGCCAAATGGCAAATATTTGAATGTCGTGAAAAATTGAACAGTTGTGGGCGGAAAACGATGTGTGCGCAAAGGAAAACGTCTGCGAAAGTGGGTTGCGCGAATTTATTGTTATTACAAGCGATTTTCTAAAATAATTAATAGCAAGTGTGCGTGGATTCTGTGGCTGTCACCAGCAGAAATTACAATTACAAGAACGGTTACATTGCGAACAAAGGGCGATTTCAGTTCCGTGAAGGGGGAAAGGAGGGGGAAAAGCGGCATGGTGTCCGGCAATTGTGCATTTTGTCAATGGGAATTAAATTGGCAGTCGTCGACTCTCAGAATGTCAACTCACACCAGCAGGAAATGACAGCAGTGAAAATCGGGGAGGTATGAGTGAGTGGGATTTCGACTGCTCGAAACGGCAGGATGTCAAAGTTCCTAAAGGGACCAAGTCCGGGTGGTTCAATTGTGGGCATGTTGAGCGGTCTGTCCGCAGCACAGGACTTCAGGACTCTAGGACTCGGGATTCAGGATTCAGGATTCGATCGTTCAGTTGGCTGGCCATTCCCATCATTAGCGCCTGTACGTGTCAAATTGATGCTGTTATTGTTCTGCCCCAGCCATAGTGTGTGTGTGTGTCTATACCATATATATCCTGGAATGGCCGTGAGTACTATTTGACATTTAGCTTAGCCGCGGGTGACAAATTTAATGGACGCACCAAGTTCTTTTGTGCCCTAAAGAGAGAGGGTGCTATTGATTTTCCTGCCTTGATGCTAAGGCCATTCAATTGTTCGATTGTCTAATTACTGTTCTATATTCCAGACATTTGGCATAAATATTTTGTAAATACCAGAGAAAATGTGGTACAGCCCTAAACCAACCGCAAGATAATGGTGTTAACCCTTTGAGCCGAAAAGCTGACATGTGCTAAGGCGCTGAAAAGGGCTATCTACCAAATCGTGACATCCCAATTGCACGTACTACCAATAGGTTGATTTTAGAATTCCATAAATGGTAAAGCTGGTAAAAATTTGAATTCTCTAGAAGTGATTTCCCGCTCACACTCTTCTGGCATAAATCAATTAGCTGTGGACACTTTACCATTCCAAAACCGAGCTCGTAAATTATAAATGTTCCGAAGCACACACAAGTTTTGAATGAACAAGTCCAATGCATTTGGGCTTGAATTACCTGCGGTATGTGCTGAACTACGTGTCTTGGCCATATCTTAGATGGCCCAAGCTTTGGGCCCGCTCTCATATAAATTATTTTTGATTGATGTGGCTCGCAGAGACCGAGCACGTGCAACCGACTCGTT